GCGCACCCAAAAGAAGACTTTCCCCGACGTAGAACATGAAACCTCCCTCCACAGGAGAAAGGTTCCTCCGTGCTAAAATTCCCCCCAGTCAAACATGGAAAGTCTCCTCGACAATAGACATTCTCGTGATACTCACACGTTCGCGGGGAGAAAAGTTCCCCGACGTCGAGCCCGCTGAGGACGCTAAGAGCATCAGAGGTCCCCGAGACCTTCATCGTAGGTCCCCGAGGCCTTCATCGTAGGTCCCCGAGGCCTTCATCGGAAACTTCATTCAGTTTCCCAAAATCTTCATGAACTCCCTGGCGTCTTCATCGAAAACTTCATAGTTTCTCCAAAAACTTCACTACTTCGCCGAAAACATCACGAAGTTCGCCGAAAATTTCATGAGTTCGCCGGAAACTTCATAGGCTCCTCAGAAAAGTCACCAGAAACTCAATAAATCATTGGAAAATAAAGTAACTCGCCAGAAAAAGCATAAACTCTGAAAAGGGACAAAAGACTTACTTGTGCAAGGATTCTGGAGTTGGACGGCGGAGCAGAAAGCGGATGGTAGTGATAAACTAGTGTAAGAAGAGCAGAGAAAATCTTGAGAGAGATTCTTGAGCTACAGTGAAGGGAGCGTGCAAATGAACCAGCCTTACCCTCTATTTATAAACCCTAACACGGGAAGCGAGACGTTTCGTAGGCACTCAACCACCTTACTCGTAGCCATCATATGCATTTATTGCTTCTGACACGTGACTCAAAGAGACATCACGCGCGCGTCCTTTAGAGCCCCTAGCACGACCTGAGGAAATGATGTGTCAACCCTTTTCACTTGTGTCGTACCGTCCAACATGTCGAGCGCAATGTCCGACCCTTGCGCTACCAAGAACACCTCCTCGGAGGAGAGGGAAGAAAGTCATGTATGTGTGTGACGAGCATCTGTCCTCGATATAAGCACATGATTAAACCCGTCGTCGGCCACAAATGAAGCTCATTGTTGAGAACGATTAATGTCTTCCGCATCTGATCCTAGATAGCCCCTCGAGCTCAACACCTCGAGCACGAGCGACACACTGGATATCCCATCCTCGAATGAGAGTTGACTCTTAAGTCATTACTCTTACGCTTCGGAGCAATGACTTAGGGGGCTCATGTTCTGGACTGGGCCAGAGGCTGGCCTGCCGTCGGGCACGACCCAACCCAACTCCTCATCAAGAAGGCTCCAATGAAGGCTCAATTCATCACCCCACACAGGAGCTTTCACGGGCCTCCCCCACGATCTCTACGTGCTCCCCACGCGGGGATACATCATCAGGCAACTGCCCGCGTTGAAAGAACAGGTCACCCACCTTTCGAAGATCGCAGGGCAGTTGGACCAGGATGAAAACCATGTGTTGGTCTTCCTTACACCAAGTAGATCCTGGAAGTTATTCGTATTGGGCCTATTGATCCAACCCAATGCAAAATAATCGTCGGTCCAACATTGAGGGCACATTACAAAAACCCTTTTTTACTAGAGGGTCCAATATTCTATTCTATACTCTCTGTATTTGCTCTCTCTTTACTCTGTTTCTTACTTTGACATCGGAATACCCTGCAGGTACAACCCCTACTCTTCAACACTACCGACGAACTAGGAGTTCACGACGCGTTGCTGACTGCTGATCTCATTCTGATCTGATAAGATTAATACATTAAGCTTGATGGTTTTTCTCATCAGTTTATAAACAGAGAAATTGAATCAGGGGAATAGAAGATGAAATGTCTAAAGTGCCCTATTTGCGGCTACATATCAGATGAGTCTTCATATTGCTTGAGGTAATGAGTATTACTGTTATTTTCATTTTGTGTGCTTAATGAATGTTCTAGTTTTTAATCTTAAGATATATGTGTTTTTATGTAGTGATTATTCCGAACCAATGAAGGATGACGAAGTTGGCCCACAAATCTAGTAGAAAACAATAACACGTTCTAATAAGAGAGAAAAACATGTGTTGGTATGCAAATGACTATGAAATCTTTTAGATATAAGTTTATTTCAACTTACATGTTGTTTTTATTAACATGAAACATATATTTGAAGCACATTCCAAATTCAATATATATATATATATATATATATATATATATATATATATATATATATATATATATATATATATATATATATATATATATATATATATATATATATATATATATATATATATATATATATATATATATATATATGTGTGTGTGTGTGTGTGTGTGTGTGTGTGTGTGTATGTATGTATGTGTATGTACGCGCGCGCGTGTATATATATATATATATATATATATATATATATATATATATAGATGTGTGTGCGCGCGCGTGTATATATATATATATATATATATATATATATATATATATATATATATATATATATATATATATATATATATATATATATATATATATATATATATATATATATATATATATATATATATATATATATATATATATATATATATATATATATATATATATATATATATATATATATATATATATATATATATATATATATATATATATATATAAAATATAATTTTTTTATTGAAAATTAAGGGATATAGATATAAAAATGTGTGGTTAATCAATTTTATAATTTTATTAATCAATATTTTATATTTTATTAATTAATTTTATTTTTCTATTAAAAATTAATTTTAATATTTGAGTGTTTATTAACCGATTTCATCCCTTATTAATTGATTTGTTTCATTTTATTGATGAATTTTATTTTACTACTAAAAGTTAGTGTTACTAGCACTAGCACTGTTCCTATTCACAATTATTTTTTTTAATAATTTAATGCTAGAATTTGGTTAATATTAGGTATAATTTGATTAATGAATTATAAGTAGAAATAAGTGGTTAATAACATGTATTATTTGATTGATAAAATAGTTAAGTTGATTAATAACATAATTTTATATTTTTATTATAAAATAAAATTTAAAAATAAATATATTTTTTATTTTAAAAAACATTGTTGATCATGTAAATATGATATGTAAGTTTTAGATTCTGTTTGATAAATATAGTGGTTAGTTGATAAGATAACTGATAACTTATAGTTTATGATTGATGGTTGACGACTTATAGCTTATAACTTATAGTTGATAGCTGATGACTTATAATTGATAAAGTAATTAAAGTGTTTAATAAAATTAAAGGTTCAATTAGTTGATAAATTATAATGATATAGAAAACATTTTAATATATAATTAATTTATTTAAATTAAAATAAATTATAAAGAGTAGTAGTGAATTTTAGTTAAAATAATAAGGATAATAATAAAAGAAAAAATAATAAATAATAAATTAAAAGATAAAACGCAATTTAAAATAGTATGTGAAAAATAAACTATAAATTTATAAAATAAGTTATAAGCTCAAGATGAAAAAATTATTATCACACAGACCTCTTATTACCCGCTCAAGATGAAAAAATTATTATCACACAGATCTTTTATTACCATTTGAGGTTATACATTATAAGTTATAAGATATATAAGCTATAAGTTCAATATAAAGTATAAGATATATAAGCTATAAGTTCAAAAATAATCACGACAATAACAGACTGGTGTCAAATTTGAGTGTTAAAATGATAAGGGTACTTAACAAATGAAGAAATATTATATTTAATTTGGTATTCTAAAAAGTATAAGATATATAAGCTATAAGTTCAAAAATAATCACGACAATAACAGACTGGTGTCAAATTTGAGTGTTAAAATGATAAGGGTACTTAACAAATGAAGAAATATTATATTTAATTTGGTATTCTAAAAAATTCTAATCCAAAGCCAATTCTCCTCTCTTTTGAGGTGTTCATCATCAAGACAGCAGAATTACCAGTCTACCATTGTCCTTGTAGTAATTGCCGGAAAAGTAGCCGGAGTCGTCATCCGCCCAAACAGTAAGAGATTCCGTCCTTCATTCCCCCATTATTACTTTTCTAGGATTTCCTTCCCATTTCCTGTAACGCGTGAGATTGCGATTTCCGATTCTGCGATTGCATGCTAAAGCGGTTTGATTGAAAATATATTAGCTTTTTTAATGTTTATAGATTGAATTCTATCTATCAAATCTGATTTTACAGTTCTACTTCTTAGATTAGGTTTTTTTTTTCTTACTCACCATGCTCACTATGCATCATTGCATGTGCACGCTGATTTGTCCCATTTTCATAATCTATCGGATGAAATTGCTACCAATCACACTAATTTGAAGGGCTGCGCTTTACTCACCTTGTCCCGCTTCAGTTTTTGTTAAAGTAGCTAGTTATTAGTCTTTATATCACAACCTTCAAGGTTTTCTTCTACTGTTTTGGATAGGTAAGAAAAAATGATGGATGTAGCCTAGTGAGAACGATGGTAGTTTTTGCATAAGGGGGGGAGTATTTGTTGGTTGAAGAGAGTTAGTTGGGTATGAGAGGTTGAGAAGGTGAGGACAATGCAAACAATGAAACATATGTAGAGTAGCTTGTCTCAGGGATGTTTGGAAGAGATACAAATGGGGAATGACTTGGTTCAGAAATGGTTAGAATGGGAGTTGGTTAAGGAATGATTGAAGAGGGAGTTGGACTGAGAATGGGACTAGGTGCTTGAGATGAAGAGGAATCACTCATGGAATCAGTCATGTTCTAACTTTTCCTTGACTGCAACATTGTAGCATCAGGTTGTTCAATTAGGAAATGACACCTTGCTACACGCCAACATCTACCCGAACAAAAAACTATATTTTATAATATTCGTTTTATCTGTATGCTCCTTTTTGAATAATATTACCCTTGTCAAACTCTCACACAGGATGAATAAGTGAATATTAATATATTTTTTCTCTTGCTTTGTTATCATCTAAGAAGTTAGAAAAATAGGGCTTGACTTTGAGTGATTCTTTAATAATTGAGCTTTTTTATGTATGTGTGATCTTTCCTCGCTGCTAATCTGTTTTTTTTTTTTTCAGATTCTAAATGACAACTGTGCAATTTGTTCAACTCTGCATATATTTGTTAGCCGGAAGTTCATTTATATGGTCACCTGGAAACTGTTCGGTTGGTGAGTCAGTATCAGGTCAGGTTAGTAAAATATTTGTTTAACAGCACAGGGATCCCGTTGTCTGAAGCTTGATGTGAAAGTTCCCCGATTGTTAGAATCCTTATTTGAAAGATTTACTTCTGTTGTATCTTGTCTCTCAATTTCACCATGGTAACAGTAGGGATCTGTAACAGAAGACGTCAATTTATTTTTCTTTTAATGTTTTTACAGTATTTTATCAGTTGACTGCACTCTTTTTTCCTTGCCAAAAGATGCAAAAATACTGGCATGTGTTTCAACAAAAGGAATAATGAATTTGTAAAACCCTTGGAATGACAAAACTAGAACTCTTCTCTGCAAGAATCTGTGTCATTCTTGTTGAAATGACTTCTTTCAAAATGAGCATAGGACTAGCACCACAAAGGCAAATGTACAGTACATACTGCTCGTCAACTGTTCCATAATAAGTCGCAAAGAGTTTAGTATTTAGAAATATGGAGAAAAAAACACTCCACGTGTGATTGATGGGTGTGATAGGGGAAATAGCATCAAGGGAAGGGTATACGAAGTAAGCATGGTAGTAGTGGCCACACCTAAACATTAAAACAAGCAAATGCTGTTTTGCATACTCTTAAAGCCAGCCAGAAAGTAAATTTAATGTTGTTTTAAGAATGGTACATTGAATGAGTGATTATACGACAAGGTTAGAAATATAATTTTATAGAGAAACTTCAGGGAAGCCCTTGTTGTACCAGGGGTGCTCATTTTAACCAGATAAGCAAGTTATCTATACTTATTTCCAATTCCGGTTTTATAAAACCGGATAAATATATGTATGGTTTTAATCAGGCCCATATTTTGGACATGTTGGATACTCATTCCATATGTTGGACATCTATATCCAAAAACAAAACCAAATATTTTCTGATTAGCCTCTCTGCATCTTTGTCTCCTTTTTGCTCTGCTCTCAAAACTTCAAAATCTTTAATCCACAAACTCTTAGTCCATTATACTGTCATAGTTTTTTTTTCCTTTCATCCATGTTGCGTCATCATTACACCGTCCCTTTCAAACATAACATTGTCATCCATTATGCTGTGTTATTATGTCTACCGTTGATCTTGTCATATTAAGTTTGTAATGAATTTTTGAAATATTTACTTTATTAAATTGTGAACCTATGATTGTGTATGACTTATCTATGAATTTTAACTCCATGTTAATAGTTTTCTTTTACTTATTTATTTAATAAACAGTTTGACTGTAAGTTTAACCAGTTAAATCAATTGAATCTTAAATCGGAGATCTCACTGGTTCATCATCCGGTCCGATTTTTAAAATATTGGTATAGAGTGCCTTTCTTCTTTGGATCTTGTTGAACAATATATTTAATGTCATTTTCTTTCAGGTGGCCGGCTCCCCAAATCCAAGGTCTAATAGTAGAAATGCTAAATCTTTTTCTCCCATGAAGCAATTTCTGATGCAGTCTTATTATGACAGATATATGAGCTTACATGATTCAGACTTTGAAAATTTCATGTCTCATGAAGTCACTTTTGGTCTGTGTGAAGTGCTTCCAGAAAACCTTAGTTCCATATTAAGATTGTCAGTTCTAAAACGCGGTCTTGTTGGTGAAGGTTCTCACCGCCGTGTGTCTACATTAATCAAATTACAAACCCAACAGTTGAACTCTTTGTCTGATCTTTTAAGCTACTCATGTGAATTAATAATTATTGAAAGGCTGCCTTCTGGAGTTTTTGCTGATCCATTTGAATTACAACATCTTGCTCAACGCGGTGGTATACACTCATCACTTGCTTTTCAGATTTGAATAAAAAAACTTGGGAAAGAAGTTTCATATTTTTACTTTAAGGAACATTTCCATATTTTTACTTTAAGGAAAATCTCCATATTTCTTTCTTTCAATCAATAACACATTTTATTGCAGTGTTCAATGATATAGCTGTCTTTGGCGATACAAATCTGGAGCTGCCTTCGTTCTTGTCCAATCGATCTGCCGTTGAAATCCATTTAGATATTGATCCAAATACATTGCTACAGCCAGCTGATATCAGCATAGAGCTTCCTTTGCACGCACGATATCAAGTAAGGCTGTTACAACTCAATTTATACCTTATGCACTTTTAGCTAAACCTTCTTTTTTTTCCCTTTTGTTTTTCAGCCTCTGAATGAAAGTGGCTACTCAATAGTCGAATTTGGTGCACCGGATACGATTCTGCACTGCAGCACAAAGGAAAAGGTGGAAAATAGGAGTTGTTTGTTCAAATTGAAAAATGATGATGCCAATCTGTATGATGCTGGTCTTGTTTGGAGAATACCATCTGGAAAAAAGGCGCACTCTGATCTTGTCTCTATTGTTACATTTCTTACGGCCTTCTTATCAACTCTTGTAATTATGGTAACATCATTGCATTATTTTAATAGCAGAGTGAGTAAAGATTTGAAACACTCGTAAAAGTCTTTTTATGTAAGAATATTTTCTCATCATTCATTATTTGTTGTATTTTATGTAAGTATATTTCTCATCAGTCAAGAAAAATAATTTGCTTGATCTTTTTATCTCATAACCAAGATTCTTCATTTGTAAATAAAAATAGTATTAAGGTAGTACTTCAAAACAAGAGAATAGTTTCGCACTTGTTATGCTAAGCAAGTGGAAATAACTTTTATTGCAAAATTTTCCCTTGTAACTACCATGAACTCATTCTTAGACTATTAATGTATCAATGTACGATCAGTGTGTTCCTTCTTGTACTAATATTTAAGTCATTTACATAAAGGAAAAGTGTTTGTTGAGTTTATTTATGTAGTGAAAGCTTATATTCATCTTTGGACCATTTATTTTTTTATACACGCTAAGTATTACACTCAAATTAACATTTCATGTTTTAAGGCTGTGAATTATAATAAAATAATTTATATTTTATATGGAAATAATATAAAATAATTTCTTTTTTTTGGTCTAATTCACTATAATATTCAATATTTTACCCCATAGGCACCTGCAGAGTTAGGAAAGGATTTCATTAGTGTAGATTTCAGGGCTGGGCTTTGGTGTTAATTCTAGCGAAATTTCATTTTTGCCTTTTAAATATTTTTGAAAATTATGAAATTTTCAGTTGGATATTGGAAATTTCGTCAATATATTACAAATTTTCAAAAAAATTATCGTGGTTGAACGTGTATGTGAGACACGTATCGAAAATTTTGTAATTTCTAGTATTGTCTACCGGAAATTTTGAAGTTCCCGGAAAGCTATACTGAAAAATTGGTAATTACGTAAAATGACCAAATACTACTGAAAATTTACAATTTTCGGTATCAGGAATTTTTAAATCTTCGGTATACCGGAAATTTTAGACATTCTAAAATTTCCGATATACAAACAGATTATCTCAAAAGTGAAAAATTTCAATGTTTTTGACACATTGTCATGCATAAATGGTTTCACATATAATAAATACATAATGTTCGAGATTACATAGCAAATTAAGATGACTTCTTAAGTTCTTTCTCCTAGTGCCTAATCCGTCTTGCATATGCTGATTCTCATACTTTTGCATCTTCAATACAGTTCTGTCTCCAATGGCTAATGACGGGAGATAATGAACTATCAAGTTTTATTTTTACCTGAACCCAATGATTGTAGTTGACAAAACCAACAACAATGATTTTATGCCTACTTGTATGCATAGGCGGAGTTATGGTAAGAGGGAAAAAGGTAATGTTAAGTCTCTGTGACAGGGAGACAAATACGACATTGTACCTACTTGCAAAAGGATAATTCATATCAGGAATCGACATCCATTTTTTCTACCATGCACACCCAAGTTTTCTACTTTTAAGGAATTCCTAACTTCAACAACCGTGTCATAAAACAAATTAGAAAATAATTTTGGGTGTTGATGAACTTGAGTATCTAACAGCATCCGGATTAACGACCATGACTTTTCGCCCCATCCAAGTAAATCTGCAATAGCCCGAAAACCACAATTTCCATCGTCACTCATATCAACAATGTCATCAATGTATGGATGAAAGAAACTAGGAAATTGAGACAAGTAAAGATGCCTCGAAGATGTATTGGAAGCCTGACTTTGACCTGACATACTAGAAGGTTGACTTGTTAGTTTTGTGCATGATCTCTTTGTAGTCTGACTTCCCTGCGAGCTCTCACCATAATTTCACTGTGAGGGATCACGATGCACATCCCTCTTTTCACCTTTTCTGCTCTTCTTAACTCTCCTCTTTGGCTTGTACTTCACCGGCAGTGGATACATAAAAGTTGAGGCTAGATGTGTTAGTTCCCGAACCTTTTTCTTCAACACCCCCTGGCCTACAATATCCAAAGAATTGAAATATGTCTTCAATTCTTCACACTCTGCCTCTAAATCAAGTGTTATGCCACTATCGTCATGGATGTTAGCATGCTCTTGAATGTGTAATTTCTTCCAAAAACATGAATTCGTTCTAAAGGAACAAACAAGCCTTGTATTTGGAAACCAGCAAGTTGACACACACAAGGTAACCCATGTGTAGTTCTAATGAAGCAGGCGCAAATATCCTTGCTTGTACCAACAAATTTTACCCTTTCGAGTTGTATGCACTGCCTTGAAACAAAACCGTGCAAGTTGGCATAGAATGGAGTGTTATACCGATGCTCAATGTTGACAATACTTTTTTGAAAAGACACTTTAATTGAACCTAGCTACAACTTCAACATGGTGTTCACAACATCTCAACTTCGACATGAATCTCCCTGGCTTGTAGTCAACATGTTTTTCAGTCTCCAATGAGCAAACTCCACTCTAAATCACAATAATTAAACCATAATGAGTCAACATGATAAATTATGCTTAGTAATAACATCGAAAAGAAGTTTGTGTACCTGTTTGTTGTTGTGTTTCCTAAATGAGTGACTCTATTAGTCCAAGCAGCCACGAACCTTTCTTTATAAGGTGTCAACCATGTTTCATTCACATACTTAACAAACATAGGAATATCAGCACAAAGTGTCTCAAAGTGCTTCAAGTGTGCAAGATACTCAGTTTCTCTATTAGTATACATGATGTTGTTCCGTAGATCCATGATAAGTTCATGTCTTTTTGATTTAACATACTCCTTAATTTCATGCTAACATTTTTGGTAATATGGAACGAACATAACAAATGTGTTGAATTTGGAAACACAACTTCAATTGCATTCATCAACGCAAGTTCTCGGTCCGTCACAACAACATTCAATAGCAATTTCTCGGTAGAAAACAACTCTTTAAGCTTATCCAGTGCCAATGTGAAGTTCTCCTCCCTTTCATGTTCCAAATAGGCAAACCCTACCGAAAACATCAACTTTGTTGACGTAACATCAACAATCTCAATCAGGGGTAATCGATACCTGTATGTTTGCGATTCAAATAATAAAAAATCTGATAAATCAAAGTATGTAGAAATGATATCAATGTATGATCAAGATGCACATTACCTATTTTTCTTGTATGTACAATAAAAAATCAACACCAAGTGAAACATATTCAACAACTTCACTGAATCAGGATGTGTACAGAAGATGTCAGCAACAACATTTGAGTCTTCCCTGTTTCTTGTCTAGCACATAATTTTTATTTATGCATAAGAGTTAACAACATTTGAATTTCCGTCAATGTACCTCTCTTGCTCGCATTGTATGTAGCTCTAACTTTATACACTTGGATAACACTGGTGATGTTTTACGGATCTTTGTCTTTCAATGCAGAAACTATGTACCGTGGAGCCATGTTATACTTCATCATCTCATTCACAAATTGTCTCTCATGATCTTTTAGACAACCTAATATATCATGGTCATCTAAATCCCTAGATAGGTTATGATTGTGAAACTCACACCTAACCATCACCTTCCAACCAATATCACTCGGCGAAGATCTCAGCCTAAAAGGGCATTTCACTTTCATACTATAAATGCCATGTAAAATTTACTGCTTTCAGATGTATTTTTCCCTTTATAATTTTCTCCTCTCTCACAACCCATAATCAATTTATCTTTCCTACCTCGCTGATCATTTGTCGTATCAGAACTAACAATCACAACTATAATACCGTGTTGCTTGCCAATATGTTGAGCTCGGGCTAATACTTTAGCTCGACCCTCAAATATTTGTCCTTTACGTTACATAAAAAGTATAGTATAAATATCATATAACGCAACGAAAATTTTAAATTTTAACTTGTTACAGAGAAAACATACTTTTTATGTAGTGAAGAACTGCGTGCAATCGCTACAAGAATTCGTAGATGATCCTGCCGGCTCCAGACTGTCCAAAGAAAGCATTTTTTGACTTACCCCTCTGTTACTGGAAATTTCAGTTGTAGGCGAAATTTCTAGTATACCGAAAATTTCAAAATTTCCGGAAGTGCTGGGTACCGAAAATTTAAAATTTCTGGTATTGTTACCAAAAGACTATGTTACGCACCAGATATTTTTAAATTTCTGGTATAAAATACCGAATATTTACAAATTTTCGGTAATGTATACTAGATTTTCTAAAATTTCAGGTGTATACACGTGAGTTTTCAAAATTTGCGCAAGAATGCGTACTGGAAATTTCAAACTACTACCAGAAATTTTGAAATCTTAGATAAAAAAAGTGAGATTTTTGGAAAAACTGTAAAAAAAATTTAGATAAATATTAACAAGGGTATTTTTGTGATATTAAAAATATGGGGGTGGCAGATGTGAAACAGAGGGTGGCAGGTTAATTTCTCCTTTAAGGCGCCAAAGGCTGCAAAGCCCAACCCGTAGATTTCACTGCAGGAGGAGCATTGGAAATTTATACCCTTTAAACTCCACCTCTTCATATTATTTGTATTTTTATTTTTTATTGTGTGGTGTAGACTTCACTATATGTTAAATTTATTGTAGACAATTAAGAGAAGATTTTTGAAAATAAATTTTATATATATATATATATATATATATATATATATATATATATATATATATATATATATATATATATATATATATATATATATATATATATATATATATATATATATATATATATATATATATATATATATATATATATATATATATATATATATATATATATATATATATATATATATATATATATATATATATATATATATATATATATATATATATATATATATATATATATATTTGACATTTAAACAAAAAATTGTATAGAATGATAAAATAATGTTTATCATTAATAGGGCTGGAAATGAGTCGAGTCGAGTCGAACTCGTCTCAGCTCGACTCGTTAAGAATTAGTTCAGTTCAAATCTCGGTTCGAGTTCGACACAATTTTTTTAATCTCAAACTCGACTCGTTACATGTTCACGAACAATTCGATTCAACTTGTTAGGTTCAACTCACTTGGTTTGCAGATTTAAAAACCATTTTTAAGTCTATTTTTTTTTTATATAT